CGGAGACCCGCGCCCGGCTTGACTCGGGAGGATGCGAGCGAGACCTAGGCGGCGGAGTCCCGGTGTAGACCTCCCTCGCCCCAGCGAGGAGAGGGAGCGTCTGCCTTATTTTAGCGTCCGCCTCTGCCTCCCTTGGGCTCCCAGTTCACCCAGAACCTTTCCGCCGCCTTAGAGCCCGCTCTGCCCAGCGGGGTGCGGCGGCCGCTCCGCGCGTGACGCGGGGCCAGAGGAAACTTACTCAAAGTGCTTTATCGGGCTTGAGGCTGATTTGTTCCCAATATCTGTGCTGGGGAAGGCGGCTGTGGAAGGTCAGGGACAAGCAGGAGACGGAGTGGTGGGAGGGTCCGGTGACCCGGAGAGGCCTCTAACCGCGGCAGGAAGATCTGCCACACCCCCGCAGGGTCCCCGGCCCCGCTCCCCCCACCGACTTTCCGCCGCGGTTCCCTCACTCCGCAATGTCCAGATTTCAAGGGGCCCCAGCGGCCCCCATCCATCTACCACCCCCCTCCCCGGAAATTCCTCATCGGCTCTGACCTCAAGGAGTATTGACAGAGTCATCAGTGTCTTGAAGAAAATTACTCTATTTGAGAACTAAAACTCATATTTGGTATTTCACTTTCAAATAGAGTTTTTTTTTTTTAAGAACACATTTAGGTAAAACACCACCGCCACTATGTAAGTTTAGGCAGACAGTTCTCTGATTCACACTAAGCATTAGAGAGTTTTTTTGGGAAACTGCTGGACTGAGACTCAGAATCCCTGGGTTCTGTTTCTAATTTTATAGATTCTTGAACTTAAGCAAGTCAGCACTTCCCCTGGTTGAGGAACGTCCTCATCTAGAAAATGAATCTGATTTCAAAGGTCTTGTCCAGCTCTCATGTTGGCTTCTACTTCAGTGAAATATTAACCTAATTAATAAGTGTTTGTTAAATGAATGACTGAAGGCAAAAACCGTATCTCTCTAGGAACTATGTATATTTAAGATTTGGAAATATGTAGAAACAAATGCCCCTTTGCTATGAAAGGAAGCTTAATGGGGCTGGCCCTGCATCACTCGCTTGGGAGTGGCCTCCCACTCTCCAGGGCAATTGCAGGGCTGCCCCCTCCCCCTCTGTACAGGGCTGCCCCCTCCACCTCTGCGGACAGCTCCTCTCAGTGTGGCCCTTTGGCATAGAGGAGGAAAATGTGAAGACCCGGAAGGAAAGGATGTTGCCCAAGGCAAAGCAAGAACTGCTGGATGGGGAGGGGCTCTTGATATCTGGCCCTGGGCTCTTACCCAAGGAAAAGGAGGGGGGAGGAGAAAGAAGCCCATGAAAAATTGCAGACAAGACTGCCAGAGCCACAGGTTGCCTCAGTGCCCAAGTTTATAAAGGATCAGAGCCCTTGGGGAGGAAAGAATGGGTGTGGATGGAACAATCCTAGGACCTGAACTTAGCAGGGAAGGCAGAGAGAAGCAGGGGGCTCAGGAGGCTCCTTTTGCCGATGAGGTGGCTTCTATTCCACACGTGGCCCCGCAGTGGGACCCTGTGTTGACTGCAGCAGGCTGGGACTGAAGAGGCAAGGAAAGCAAGCTAAAGTGTTTGGCGGGACAGGCACGTCGCTTGGTCACTTTCTTTCCCCATTCTCTTTCCTTGCCTACATTTGCTGCCTCTTCTCCCTCATTCCCACCAGAGTCAGCCCCTGGCCCCTCCAGGCGACAGCAGACATTTACGGCTTGCCAATGTACTCCACACCGGGAGACTCCCGGGTCCACGGGACCTTAAGATAATAAAGGAGAAGCGAGATAATGGAGGCCAAAACCCAACACCTGGCCACTAATAACCCCGTGGAGAGGTCATCTGCATCTGACTGAATGTCTGAGCTGGGAGGGCCCTATAGTCCATCCTTTTTGCCAGTAGGGGCGGGAAGATCCAGAAACAAGTGATGTGCCTGGCAGCCGAGCTGGATCTGGAGCCAGGTCTACTGAGCCTCCGGCCAGGACTCCCTTCCTCCCTGCCCTCTTTCTCAGGAGCCAGTCAGTCTTCCTGCTCTGCTGCCTTCTATTCTCCCAGCTCCCCTGCCCCCTGCAGCCTGGGGGGCTTGGGCACCGACCGTGGGCTCCTACTCCCAGCTGACGCTCAGCCTGGTAGTGCCTTCCCGACACCCACTCCTCTTCTCCTTCCTTCAGGCAACAAGCACACGTTTAAACCTCATTATCCGACTAAGTATAAACCTCAGGGGGAGAAGGGTTTTGTTGTTGTTGATCTCAGGCTATAAGCTAATGTTGAACTGGCTTTAGGAAACCAGGCAAATGTCTCTTTGGCCAGTCATCACCAAGAAAGTAATTCTCTCAGTACGGAAACAAAGCTCTGTATGTAAGGCATAACGCCCCTGGGAGAACTCCTCGCCCTCCTACACAGGCGCGCTGGTGCACACACACCCCGCTCTCCATCACCGAGAGCATCTGAGCTAGGAGGCTGGCAGGCGGGCCGCAGTCCTGTAGCAAAGAGACACATCTACCACACACACACACACACACACACACAGCGCGCGCGCACGCACACACACATACACACACATTACTGGGAAGATCAGGACCCCTGCTCTGCTCAGGAATCTGGAATGAGAACCCCCGAAGGAATGGCCAGGAGGGAGGGACAGGTGGGAGGAACCACTTGGAGGGGCCCGAGGAGTCCCGGTGAGGCCAGCCCCTCAGCGAGGCCCCTCCAGGAGAACCCCGTCTCCAGGAGCTTCGCCAGCCGCTTGCCGCCCGCCGGGCTGGAGGTGGGGTAGTTCAGAATCAACTGACGCAGCCGGGATTTGAGCTTTGCGAAGCCACTCGCAGGGAAGGGAAGCATCTGCCCCTCCCTCCCCTACTGCGCGCCCTCGATCCACAGCCTGCCCCCTCCCCCCGTGACGTCACCCCAGCCCTGTCCCGGGGAACCTGCAAAGCCTCTCAAATTCAAACTGCCGGGCGCACTGCTGCCACTGCCCCCGGATTGGAAGTGCGCGCCCAGGCTCGGCCGCCGCCGCCGCCCGCCAACCCGGCCGGCCCGCTTCCCGTACCTCCCTGC